CAGGGTAGTCGGCACAGAAGTCGGTGCTAGATACAATTATTGTCCTTAAACTTTTAAAATAATTGTGTACGTTTTCCAATTTCAACATTGGCATCTGTCTCATTACGTTTTGACATGGTCATGTCTACTTGCTTTTATGCGGTCTACAGCGTAACTGAGAACTGCGCCTAAGGGCCACCCTGTGTACTGAGCAAAATATTTAACAGTTTAATAAAAAAGAGTTAGAAATTTAAAAACAACAAATAAGGAAAAAATTGAGAACAGGTATAGCTGGGCGCCATGCACGCAGGCCAGTCTACGCCAGGCAGCGCCAAGGCACCCTACCTCACAAGACGCGCAACAAGTAGCGCACTACTGCTGCTGCCGCCCCCGAGGCCGCCCCCCACACACGGCGACACCTGAGGGACCCCCGGGGCCCCTCCTCGGGGAGGGATCATGCTGTTGTAGTACAAACATCATCCACTCAACGTGAGCTGGGCTGGCCGGGGACCGTAGGGGACCGACAGGGCAGGGATGGAACAAACAGCCCTAATCAACCCAGAGATGAGCCACCAGGTATGTGCTACTAGTCTCTCTCTCTCTCTCTCTCTCTCTCTCTCTCTCTCTCTCTCTGACATATCGAATGGCGGGTCTCCACTCCATAGCCAGGTCTCCAGATGGTCAATGACTGATAACTTGGATGAAAAGAGTCGGCAAGTGGGACAAAGGGGAAATATGTCAAAGATGCAATACACACGGTCTCCATACCCAACCTGTGTGTGGGGTAGGTTTTGGGTTACAATTATGTCCTTGCATCTTGTGTGGACAACGACGAAGCACCGTATGATAGAAAGATAAAAATGTCTAATTTAGAATATGTGTTTGTCCTCTGCGGTGTGCGACAAAGGGGGGTGGTTGTCGTGTAAAAATCATAGGTATAAATATTGCACTGCTTTTGGAATGAATTAATCTACATATCTTCTTTGATAGATCGGTCAGCAGTAACATAATAACTCTTACATGCACACACTTAATGTATTTGTATGTTTTTGTGCAAATGTTCGCTTTAAGTTATACCTACGTTTTGTTTGGCACAAATTTGTACGACAATAACGTGTATGATTTCCTACAAATGAATGCACAAAAGTGTTCACGCAGAAATGTGTGCAAAAAATTTGACTGCCTTTTAATTTGTATGCACCTGCAAACACTCACAGCGCGTAGAGCCAATAACAGCCGATGATAACACAATTTCATGCAATTTGGCGCAACTCCACTCCATATGCTTTAGATCTGAGAGCAGCTCACACGACGGCCGCCACTGGCAGATCAATCCCACTATCACGCAGAGTAGAGTTAGCGATACAGTGTATCGTATCATCACAGACTCTGCACAACTTTCCCTCTCAAAGCGGAGGCAAAATTCGCCGCCAGCGACTCATCTTTAAACCACCTGTCTCAGCCAAAAACGCATCACGCAAACACGCTCCGCACAGCCCCTTTTACCTCGGCTCTAAGCTCTCACACTCCCGCACACTCACACTCACACACACACATTCTCCTCCAATATACACACTTGGCGGCCCGGCGCCCCCAGAGCGCTGTTTCCGCACCAGTGCTTCTTCAGGCGGCCAGGGCGGAGAGTAGCGGCGCTTGGCGGGACGCGGGCTGGGGCGGGGCGGAGCGGGTGGTCCTGAACGGAGCGGCAAGGCTCTGTAGGTGTATGTGTGTATGCCTGATACTGCCCACTCCCGACCCTTCAGCAATTGCTCCCTCATTCACAACAATACGTCCTCTATTTCGCCAAAAGGCGACAAAGCACCGCCCTCGCTGCTGCCTTGAGGCTGAAAAAAAAACAGTACCTCAATACTTAATAATTAGTGATAACTGTTAATGACAAAAATGTTAAACTAACAACAACGTTGATATTATTTGTATTGGATGATTAACTGAAGTTATTTGAAGTATGCTTAGTTTGTATGACGGACGTGCAATCCGATAGCCTAGGTCGTGGACGGGGTGGACGTCCAGGAACACACCTCATTTAGGTAGGCCAGGCTGAAACACGACACCGCCACGATCAAGTCAAAGAGTCTCTCTCTCTCTCTCTCTCTCTCTCTCTCTCTCTCTCTCTCTCTCTCTCTCTCTGTCCTGACGCGACGTCGGGGCTGGCGGACCGCAAAGAAGGGTCCCGGTGCTGAAAGGAATGAATATTCTCTGCTCCGCTCGCTGTCGAAGCCGATGGATGTATCCTCCTGCGGCCTGCCGGGCCGCCTGGCCTGCCCCGGCTCCGGCCGCTCCGTAAAAAGATGAGGCGGGCGTGTTTGGTAAACAGGACTGCAGCCACGCGGAAACGGCGGAGCGAGGCGAGGCGGGACGGGTGACGAGATGGGGGGCCAGGCTTCAACAGAGGCACCCCTTTTGGCATGTCAGTATCGATAAGGGCAGCGGCAGCTATGGATTGATATTTCAGATTTCACAGGAGTAGAGGTTGTGCCCTATGGGGCTTTTCAGACTGTTGCGAGTGGTATACAAGCTGGGGGTCCGGGTGCTGGCCAGGCTGACATTGTCATGCGAAGAGCGACCGCTGGACTTCGCCGGGCTGGATGCTGGATAACTTCAGTTGAGAAACAATGGGGCCCAAGGATGGAAGTTGGTGTAACCGTCCTATAAACAAGGCACAAAATATATAGGGTGGCCCAGTGTCCCATAGGCCCCCGTACTTACTTAGTCACACTGTACTGCATTCAGGCGTATGGGCGGGTTACCTACCGTCGCTCACCGCGGCCCCTTACGGCACGTCTAGGGCAAAACCACGCGGCTAATGACTTCTTGCAAAACGGGGTTTGCGGCTTCAGTTCCGTAGATTCCACACTCATTGACCGATGTATCTATTGAAATTGTTTTGGGTGGGGTGGTGGGGTGAAACGAATAAGGGGTGAGTTAATTCGAAATTCAAATTCCTTTGATATCAAATGAATTTAAAATATTACAGACGTTTTAAAACGTATTTTGGTGGGAGTTTATTTCTTCTTTATTTTGGTAAAGCCTCAAGTTTTTAAAGACGAAACTGTCGAGGAGTAACCATTAATAAAGGCAATTTAACCAATTTGGATAAAAAGAATGCTTACAGGTTGTTAGATTATGCATAGTTAAGCAAAACTAACTTCAAATTCGAATTCAGTGACCTAAAACCCCAGAAAAGGAAGTAAGGAGGCTGCTCAGTTCAAAAATCGATTTACCAGCGCGTTTTGGAGGTACTGTATTTTGCCCACTGTGCATGCACTTCCCGCGTAAGGAGACAATAGGCAACCGGTTGCCCACAAAAATTCTACGTTTTTGTGGTAGACTTAGACAGATACCCCGCGAAGCATGTTCAAAGATGATTTGCAATAATATATTACATTAGAAGCAATGTAGGTCTGCAGCTCCCAGCTCCCAGAGCAAAAATTAAAAGCCAGATAAACTCAGTTTCTTTGGTGACTCACCGGCATCACTCGTTTACGCCTCAAGTGCGAGCAAAATAAATTCACACGGGTGGTGTGCAAAAGTCGGAGAAGGTTAGCTAGCTGTTATTGTCGTGTTACGGTTGGAGACAGGAGGGAGAGAACACGACCAATAGTGGGACTAAAGGTTGGGGGTGTATCTGGTAACTCCTACACACCTGATATCCGAGGTATGAGGTATCTCGGCGAGTCTCCCCCCCACCCCTTTCTCTCTCTCTCTCTCTCTCTCTCTCTCTCTCTCTCTCTCTCTCTCTCTCTCTCTCTCTCTCTCTCTTCGCCCTCCACCCAAACCCCTCCACACCGGAAAGAGGTGAGGAAGTGCAAAGCCTGCCGGCCAGGTACGACGAGGGGGAGGAGGGTGGGGTCGGGCGGGGGCGGCCCCTGGTGCTTGAGAGATAAAGAGAGAGGGGGAGCAGCTATCCCCGTTCCACACGGCTGCGCCCGGCTGCGTCGCGCCGGCCGCCACCCTGCAGAGCAGCAGCTCCACGAGCAGCAGCTCCACGAGCAGCAGCTCCACGAGCAGCTCGAGGACGGCCCGCGCGGGGCCCCGGGGCCCTCTCTATGCGCGCAGCTCGGCGCTGTTCTGCTGCCGCACTCGTGTCGAGGGCGCGCACTTTTCGCAGCCGCGGCGCCCCGCCACTAGAGCCACACTATGCAGCCCCAGAGCAGCGCGCAGCTAGGCGACACTCCACTCCGCCTCGGGCGCCCTCCACGCGAGAGGGCTAATTCAGTTGTGTCATCATGTTTTCCTTCCAACACCGCCAGTGATGGAATTAAAAGTGAGAGGGGATTCGCAGAGAGATGGGAATACTGCCGCGACACGAGTTGGCATAGTGCACAGCAATGCGATCATCAGGGTGCGAACCTTGCCAAACAACGGGGTCGCGCAGGAGAGGGAGAGTCAGTAAGGCTTCATAGCCCCCGTGAGTGATCCGCGTGACCGTGCAGCTAAGCGATGTTGTGATGGTCGGGGGATAGTGACCACAAGGAGGCTTCCGCCGCCCCGCCCCGCCCCGCCCCGCCCCGCCCCG